AAAAAATCCACGCGCGTAAAACTGAATATTTAATGAACACGTGACATTTATTGTCCTATAAACCTCTTTTCACTTGGACAACGTTTTTGGGATCGACTGTATCTATGTTTCTATACTCTGATATAACAGTTTTTCAGCCAATCAGAGCGCGCGTTCGTGAAAATCTATATATAAATTCATATACTCACACATTCACATAATCTATAAATCAATAGCATGGAATAGTGTAGCTTACAATTTTCGCCCTGCTATTGTCTGAACGTTTCGGGATCAATTGATTCGGACATCGCAGGTGGACAGAGATTTTCAATTTTTTGCTTTATTTATTTGTCTCTCGAGGTAAATATCAGTTCCGGCGATTCCTTCCTCCACTGATTAAATCAACGGGCGGGATTTAAACGTTTTGTGTTTTACTCTATCACGAACAGTAAATATCGTCGGGTTGAACAAAAAATGTTTTTTACATTACACTTTAACGTTGAGCTAAGTGTGTTCATCATTATTGCACCGGCCAAATCCTTCATCTTATTCTTTGCTTGTAAATTGAAAAGGATGTATACAGTTCGAAACGAAAACACTAAGTCCCTAATAAAACTGGGAAACGCTGGTGGCGTAGCGGCTCGCCTCTCATCAATGCGGCTCGGGTTCTCAGGTTTTTCTCCCTCCGTAAAAATTAACTTCTAAATTCCAATTGAAATCCAGGGGAAGAAGAGCCACTCAGTGGAATCCACTGTTAATCAGCTAGAGATTGTGAAGAAAGAAGGGTGTAAGAAAGAGCATTTTTGATATTTTGTAGTGCAACCGAGGATATGGTGTTCGACAGCTGGTTGATTTCATCCAGCTACCACGTGATAAAGCACCGATAATGCTGATTGGTGGAGGCTGTTCAGTAGGAACAGAGGCAACAGCTGAAGCATCTCATTACTGGAACCTAGTACAGGTAGGGATCGTTTCATGACTGGTACGCCCCACCCCTTCCCTCTGCACACATGTCCGCTACTCCTTGGAGCGGTTTTCTTATGACTGTGAAAAAGTTAGTGCCGTATGCCGTACGTGCATTGCCTTGCCGCGACCGTAATGTTTTCTGGGATTTTGATTGAAAGATTTTTTCTCGCGCAATATGATTGGTCTGGCAGTTCCGTGACATTGGCGTGGACTTGTCCGCCCAGTGTTTCAGGTATTTGATTGGATGGAGAGTAAATTCTCGTGCAACGTGATTGTGTGGGCGTATGCCTGGTTCGTGTGCGACAGCCGGTTCGTGCCGTGAGCTTTTCACAGTCATATGAAAACTCATACTCTATGTTCAATTGATAGATACAAAACACCCTCGTGTGGTTAATAAGCCTAAATTTGAACCCCTATTAATTAATTATTTTAAGCTTTTCACCCATACACCACTTGACATTAAAAAAGATCAGTTTGAAGACTTTTTTAATGGCTTGAATTTTCGGCTGAACTCCTGAGGCCAACAAAACCATTAATGCATTCACAGACATCATCTCCAGCTCATTTATGAATAAGTTTGTCTAAAATGTTTTACTTAACAGCCACTTAACTGCCTTGGAGGGCGTTAGTTTAATAATAAGCACCACGCATCGTTTTTTTAGTGAAATCGGAATGATTGATGGCAGCTCTTTAACTGATTCTTGTACAGCCACTTGCCGTCTCATTTGCTTGGCTGAAAACTCACGCAGTTTTTAAATTGAAATTATAGTTATTGCGGTGGAAGAGAATACGGATGAGGGACAATGAAATGCTTTTAAGCAAAAAATAAACAAAATGAATAAAAAAACGAATAAAAGATTTAAAAGGAAATTTACACGAAGAGTTTTAAAATACAAATACGATACCACTTTTCTTACAGCAATCGAATGCTTAAAGAAATAAAATATCGATCGAAACAGTGTAATGAATATTGTATGTATTGATAAGACATTTTGCAAGAGAATCGAACCCTCGTTAGCTTGATTTATTTTGCTCTCAATTCTGTTGAAAATAGAACACGGTCATTTTTTGCCGAAGACCATGCTAGATTTTAGTACTATCCACTTTAATTTACATTAAGAGATATTTTATATACAATGTACTTATAAAACACTGACACTTGAATATAAAGCGTAAAAACAAGCTACAAAATGTAAAAATATAAAATATATAAAAACTTAAATAACATATACTTCAGCTGAAATGTCCTGAAACAATCGAAGGCTCTAGCTCTAGCTCCTTGCGACGACACTAGAGAAAAACCTTTGCGCATGCGTGCCTTTCAGCACGTTTTCTAAGAATTTAGAAGGTGAGTTGGAGAGAGAAAATAAATGTTTTTTTCTCTCCTAATATAGGCAAAAATTTCGCATGTATACTTTCGTGAAATCAAGATACTGTATCAATAACAAAATATGAAAGAATAAACCTTAAGTTTTAAGCATGTACACAAAGATTTGGTATTTGTGAAGTCCAATTGTCAGTCATGTTTAAAAGTCAAATTTACAAAGACGTTTTGACTAATTTGCACTTTTGACTAATTTGCACGTTTTTCACTCTTATCCCTTGCGACAGCGCTCTTAGTTACCTCCACGAAGTTGAAACCCAGTCTGCGTCATATACTCCTTTATGAGCGTCCAGTCTTTTTAACCATCACACCGCAATGCAAAGGAAAAATACTTAAGAGAATGGCACATGATTCATGGAAAAACACCTAATGCCTGTATGGGTGTGTCGACCGTCATAATCATGCATGCTTTTTTCCTTTAGATTGCATACAGTGCCAACTCTATGGCTCTATCTGATAGCAAAATGTACCCTCTTCTATACCGTACCTGCTACTCGGAAAGCATCGGGAATCCTGCCCGCATTGCTCTCTTGAAAAAATATGAATGGACAAAAGTGGCAACGATGGTGCAAAACGAAGGACTCTTCACTCTGGTAAACTATTACTGAATAGGCCCTTTGCATGATGGCGTCATTTTACTTAACCACTATCATAATGACCCGCGAATTTTCTTTTTTATTCAAATTTGTATTTCCTCATGAAAATAGTAAGACAAATATTTGGTGCTAATTAACTGAACAAAAGAAAGTCTGTGTGAAAGGGATTCTGGTAGTTGTAGTACATGACGCTATAATGCAAGTGACGTATTGCCTAAGTCATTGCTACTGCTATATGCATGCACGTACAGTTGCTCTTGCATGCTGTCGGTACAAGTATGAGTACTCCCCCATGTCATATCCCCTGGGCGTATATAATTACTTAAGGATTGTTAAGTGGGCTTGTAATCGGGGGAGATTACTATCGGGAAGGGGGGGGGGGGGGGTTAAAAAATGGTGAGAAAACGTATAACTAACATGAAACTATAATCAGAGAGGGTTGTGAATGGATACACGGCGGTCATCCATCAATAGAGTGGACTCAT